GCTATAATCTGATGCAAGGAGAACAGAGGCTGAGTAACGCCACAGGACACCAAGAAGTCTGCAAGAACAAAGCCATATAGTTAAATTGGAGGCAGAGTGCACACAAGAAAAGCTAACAAGAAAGCCATCTTTCTTCAAACCAGTAAAGTTCAGCACTGAGTTCCAATTCCCTGTCTATCCATTCATCCATCGATCCTAACACTGAGAATACCTACTAAATGTCCCAGGAAAATGATTTTAGTTATTCAAAGAACAAATGAAAGAAGCATCTCCTGGCACAAAGAGTTCCCAGAAAAGCAGGAATATTCATCAGAGTAAACTTTACTAAAAAGCATCAAGAACAGAAGCAGGTGCCTTATGTCCTCATTCATGAAAACTGAAGAAGTTGATGGCATAGAGGTAGGGGGTAGACAATAGATGTCACCAGACACAAAGAAAGGGAGGGGCAGTGACACGGTGGATAACAGACACCAAAACAAGGGGAGTACTTCTAATGCCACACAGCTCAATAAGAAAACTATTCAGCAATTACACATTCCAGATAGAGCAGACTTTGAAGTACAAATGAAGAGTTTAGAGCACAAATTGTATATGTCCGTTTTAAAAATTAAAGGCTGGAAAAATGGCTCAGTAGTTAGAGCACTTGTTGCTCAAGCAGGGGGAGCAGAGTGCAAAACCCAGCACCTACTTAACAAGCTAGGTGTGGTCCTGTACACAGCTAAAATCCCAACACCAAGAGGGGCAGAGACAAGAGGTTTGCCAGGGCTCACCAGCAGTAGACCACTAAGCTAAAAAACACAAGCTCCAAGTTCAGTAAGAGGCCCTGCCTCAGAGGAAGATGGTGAAGAGTGGTAAAGGACACCTAACAGTGTTTTGGCATCTGCACTCACAGGCACACATACCTGCACATATACACATATACCTCACACAAATACATATACACGCTGATATACACATAAACATTCACAAATCCAAAAATTAAAGTAGAATAAAATGCAACCAGGGCTGAGAATCATTAACTTGCTTAAAAGTTCTAGGTCAGAGTGAATGAGAGAACATATCAATCAATACTCCTGTGGCACAGGCAGGTTTATTACTTAAGTGCTCTTGTGTTTATGTATGTACATTTTCATCAGATTAATACTCTTTTAGCTGGTTTATATAGGTACCATTGATAGAATAAAAGGCACTATGTTTTGTTCTTATGGTTTACTTTCTTTAATCTCATCCATGAAGCAATTTAGATCTCATCCTTGGGTATGAATTATAGCAATACTGAAAAAGTCAAGAAATTATTACATTAATTAAATGATGGGTTTAATAGGCAAGAAAATTTATCTTCAGATGCTTAACATCACCCACTGATGGCTGCAGCTTTGAAAGTTTAAATCATCTATTTATTTATTTATTTATTATTTTTTGAGCCAGGGTTCTGGTATGTCACCCAAGCTGATTCAATCTCCCTGCCTCCACATCCCAACTGTTGGGATTATAGATGGGCATGCATGATCACACACAGCCCAGGGATATTTTAACCTTTTTTATCCTAGTTACTCCCAGAAAAACTTAACAGGAATTTCCATAAGGCTACATGATTCTGGGAATTGGTGACATATTAGACTATGAGTCAGTTAACCCCGTCTCTAGGGAAACTAGTCCAGAAAAGTTCATGTGAGCATACCTGAGAGGCTTTCTTGTCATACCTCAGTGTTACAAGAAAAGAGAAATTTGACTAAAGGTCTCAAAGATGCAGGAAAATTGATAGACAGCATTTGAACTAGTTAGTGTATGAGAAAACTGTAGTAGACACTTGTCTGCTACAGAATCTAAAACCAGATAAGAAAAGTGTTCCAGCTATGCTTCAGCAAGACTCAGCAGCAAAGTGCTTTGCTGGCGTGTCAAAGGCCCTGGCTCAATCCCCAGCATGTGTACATGTCCATGCATGAGCGTGCACACACATACACAGAAACTCTAGTTATTTTGAATTAAACTTTTTGGAAATTCCTAGAAAATCATCACTACATTTGAAATGGATGAAATCTATTTTGCATCTGAAGTGCCTAGACAGATGCAAATCTGTGGAGCATGTGTTTGCATTATAGGGCATATGGTGAATAACTTTTTTGGTTGTAGCATTTTCCAAATTTTGTTTATTATTCTTCTTTATTTTTTATGTGTTTGAATGTATTGCCTGCATGTGTATAAGTGCACCCATGTCATGCAATATCTGTGGAGGTCAGAAGAAGGCATTGGAGCCTCTGAATCTGGAGTTATGGCTAGTCATTAGCCACCAGGTGGGTGTTGGGATTCTAACATAGGTCCTCTGCAAGATCAGTCAGTGCTCTTAACCTTTGAGCCATCTCTCCAGCTCCTGCTTACAGCATTAATTGACTTTCCCTTTTGGAAGGAACTTAGATACAAAACTTAAGCAGTTTTTTATTTTGGATTCAGAGAAACTTGGATTCAGAGCCCCTTCTGTCACTTATCAGCCTGAGCTAGTCATCTAACATAGATGACTTTTAGTTGTATGTTTTACAAAATAAAATAATATTACTCAATTTAACAGACCTGTTGAAAGTAGAGACATTTTACAAGGTCTTTGTCACCTAGCAATTGCACAGCAAAAACAAACGTTATGAACTAGGGATCCAACAAGTAAATAAGCTGGATGGCAACAGCCATAGCAAGGCAAGCCTCTAAGTGGCAGAGTCTATAGTTGATCTTCCTGCCTGGCCTGGCTGTAATGTGTCACAACTCAGTCTTGAACCTAACAAAGGGTAATTTGTCCCCAGCCTCAGCCAACTTTGCTCAGTCCAGGTAACTTGACTTTCACCCAAACTTCCTTAATTATAGTCCAGTTCCCTTTCTGAACAAACTGTCCATTAAGATCCACTCATTTCATTGGGGCTCAGATGTTCTCCTAATTATGTGCAGAGCCCTCTCCTATGCCAATGACCAGAATCAATCCAACAATACAAATCAAGCCAAACCAAAGAAAGAAATCTAACAAAACTACCTGCACTGGGCATGGAGGCACACACCTCTACTCCCAGAACTTGATAGGAGGATGAGTTTAACTACCGCTTGAGCCCAGCCAGCCTGCACAGCAAGACCTTGTCACAAAGCAAAGCAAAACAAAGCAAAGCAAAACAAAACATTACCTGAAACTCTGCTCTTATGATGCCTGCTATCCAGAAATCAGACCGAATGCTGGCAGAATTAGCTTGAGGTAGCATTCCCCCCTGGGGAGTAGGCTGTTCAGTGCTACATACATTCCATGCTGAGCAAGACCTGAGGAGAAGGCAAGTGAGTTATTTGCAGACAAACGCAAGTGTAGGTATAGTAGAAATTGCTACGTCACAGCTCCACATGTCTGTACCCTGATTTCTCCAAATCCCATAATCTCTGAAGGTTCCAACCAGTAGATGATGACCGTACCTGTGAGCAAGTCTTTAAAACATTCATCCGTAGTCATGAAAGTAGCTAAACATATCCATAATTATTCCTATAGTTCTGAAAAACCCCTTCCTAACTAAGAGTGAAGTCAGCCACCCCAGACTGCCCCTAATTTTGTGGGACAATGTTTGACCAACTATTATTTGTACTTAATTTCACCCTTTTCTGATTGAACAATTTGGTAACACTAGTAAAAAGTACTTGTTGGTATATCTGGCTTGCTGTCTTAGTGTATTTTGTGCTGCTGTAACAGAAAATGCCAATAACTATTTATTTATAAGCAGAAACATTTCTTACAATTCTAGTGACTGGAATTATTTATTTATTTATTTGCAGAAACTTCTAGTTCTGATGACTGGGAACCCCTAAAGCCAAGGAGCCCTGCATCTGTCTGGTGAGGAAAGCCCTTCTTGCTGAGTCATTCCATAACAGAAAACAGGACAAGAGACTATGAGAGGAAGGATGGGAAGAGAGACCCTGAAGTTGTCTTCTGCAGGAACCCTTTCCCTGGATAAGCAGCCTCCTTGCTCAGTAAAGGCATTAATCCATTGACGGGGCGAGGGACCCCCTCATGACCTCATCACCTCTTAAAAATCACACTGTTAACACCATTGCATTGGGGATTAAATTTCCAGAACATGTATTTAAGGGGATAGCTTCAAACCATGGCATCTTAATCTTGTCCCCAAATTCATGACCTTCTCGCATGCAAATACGCTCATTCTACCCAGTAGCCCTAAAGTCTTAACTTATTCCAGCACTAACTCAAAAGTCCAAAGTTCAGAGTTTTATCTGAATAAAATATGGGTGAAATTCATGGCCTGATCCATGCTGAGGCAAATTCCTCTCTAGCTAGGAGCCTGTGAATTAACAAATTACGTGCTTCCAAAATATAGTGCTAAGACAGACACAGGATTGATGTCCCTACTTTAAAAGGGAGAAATAAGAAGAAAGGAATAACTGATTCAAGGAAATTTCCAAAACAGAAAACATTAAAGTTGGAGAATAATATCCTCTACCTCAGTGTAATGCCTCCTGGATCACTGAGGGTCCCCAAAGTCCCATGGCTGGGCTTGGCTCAGACCATACAGCAACTCTCACAGGTTGGGGTCCCATGCCTGCAGGTCTCAGGTTAGCACTGCACCATGGTAGCTCTACAGTTAGGAGACCTTGAGAGTAGTCACACTTTCGTGGCTCCATTAGGCACCACCCTAGGTAGGGCCACTCTGTGGTGATTCTGCCTCTGCAACAAGTCTACTGTGTCCTGAGGCTGTCTGGAACATTTTTTAAAATCTAGGTAGAGAAAGCCATGCCCCCACAGTTCTTCCATTCTGAGTACATACAGAGTCAGCACCACATGAGCACTGCCAAAGCTGGCCAAGAGCTGTGACAAAATGCACCTGTGCCCACTTTAGTGCTTTCAGACTCTCTCAACAGCTCAGGACATGAATGCTGATTTCCTGAAGGAATCTCTCTAAAGCCTTGCTGTTGAGAGGTCCTAACTGCACTCAGAGCCTTCTGAATGCCTTGGGGATTATTCTACCACTGTCTTGATGAGTAAAGCCTGACTCCCTTTTACCCATATTAATCTATTTGACAAAAGGCCAAGTGATAGGAAAAAGAATTATGCCCTTGGTTGTGGGGCATTCTTTAAGGTGAGGTTGACAGAACGTTTTCAAACATTTAGATAGTAAATGTTTGAAGCTTGCCAGTCATGTGATCTCTTTCACAACCATTCAGTTCTCTCATTGAGCAGCATGAAAGCAGTCACCACCAGCGATGACATGGAGATGAATCAGCATAGCTGTGTACTGAGGAAGCCTTATTTCTCCAGGTGGCTACCTGCCCAAAATGACAAAGACATCAAAATACCCCCTGAAGGTCTAGAGCTTAACTATCCCCAAAGGCCCATGTTCTAAAAGCTCAATCACTAGCTTGCGGTGCTGCGGAAAGGTGAGGTTTAGTGGGAGGAAGTAAAGTCATTGAAGTACACCTTGAGGAGGTACTGGAACCTCCATTGTCTCACTGCTCCACACCATAAGGTAAACTGACCACACGCTTCCACTGTAATTTGCTACTCAAGTCAGAAAACAATGGGATCAAATGACTGTGGAATACAATCTCCAAAACCATGAGCCAAAGTAAGCCTTTGTACCCACAATTGTCATCTCAGGTATTTTGTCACAGTGACAGAACAGTCACAGCCAATCTAAAAATGTTTAAAGACTTAATAAAGTAGACAAGGGCACATTCAGCAAACAAACAGAAATCCTAAAGCAACTGCCAAATGCAAATTCTGTAACTGAAAACTATGCTTCCTGGGATCAAATATCCATTAGCTAGGCTTCATACAGACTAGGGATTGCATAAGAAAATAGTCTTATGTTGAAATTTAATCCTCACAAACATAGCATTCAATGGTGGGTTCTCTGTGACCTAATTGCCCATGAGGACTTGTGCCCTAACTAAAGGAGCCCTGTCTCTGTCTACATTGCAAAGACAAACAGAAGAAAGCCCTCATCAGATACCAAGTCTGCTGGAAATTTAACCTTGGATTTCTTACACTCCAGGATTGTGAAAAATAAGTGTCTGTTGTTTATAAATTATAGTCTGAGGCATTTTTATAGTATAGTAGCCCAAACAGACTGAGACATCTTCCAGTCTGAAGAACAAGAGAAAAATATTGTTAACAAACATAGCCTTGGTGAGAATGTAAAGTGTTTTGACGTATGTCTAATAAGAACACCAAAAGGAGAAGAGAAAGAAACAAGAAGTATTGACAGAAGAATAAAATTTCTCAGAATTTGGTTTTTGTTTTATTTTGAAACACGGTAACTCAAGCTAGCCTCAAACTTGCTCTGTAGTCAAGGATGACCTTGAAATCCTGATCTTCCTGCCTCTACCTCCAAAGTGCTGAGATACAGCCTGGTAGGTTTACACAGTGCTGAGGATCAAACCCAGGCTTTGGTGCATGCTAGACAAGTACTCTACAAACTGAACACATCCCCAGCTCCTAGATTTAGGTTTGTTTTTTTTTAAGTCAACTTATAACTGCAAATAAATAAATATATTTATAAACAATAAATAAAGTAAGTAATGTTGTAAATTTCTTCCATTTTACATGGAGCTCTGCAATATTGATTTAAATGTCCATGGAGTATGACTCAAAAAATGGGAAAATGTATTGACGATGTTTACAATATTAAATTAAATGGAAAGAAAACCGGAAAGGTGAAACTGAGGAACAAAGCACACATGTGGCAAATATTGGACCCATATTGGTACTCTTGAGTCAACCATACCAACAACTACCTAAAAAGCTAATGGACTAAACCCCAAATGAAGGCATATTTCCAGACTGAATTAGAAAAGATCAAACTCATGTTATCTCTAGAGGATGCAATTTAAATACAAAGAATAAAGATATACGATGCAAATTTTAAGTCTAAGAAAGCCATACAGCTACATTCATATCAAAGTAGACTTAAATGTAGTTGTCAACCAAAGGAGACATTTCATAATGAAATAATTAATGAAAAAGCTGTAATCCTGAATGAGTCTGGCTCTTATGTTAGAACTTCAATATGTACAAAATAAAAATGAACAAGACTAAGGGAAGAAACACACAAACCCACAATAATAAATGGACACTTCAACTCTTTCAGCAACTGACAGAAAAAAGAAAAAAATGAGCTTGACCAAAATCTACCAAATGACTAATGTCCCTATTGCTTTTTCTCTTTAAGGTGCAATCCAGTGCAACGCAATGCAGTTATGGGGATTGGAAAAACAAATAACCAGTCCACCATTTCCAATATGAAATTTTATAAAATGCTAAGTTCTCTTTCCAAACTTGCTTTTCTAAGAATCTGGAGTTGCTGACTCAGCTCACTCCATATATGGAAAGTGTTATGGACCCATGGGTCCCCCAGATTCTTATATCAAACTCCTATCCCACAGCATTTTTAAATGTATTTGTAGACAGTGTTTAAATAGATGATGGAGTTAAAAAGGAAGCCTTTGTGGTGGGACACTAACCCAACAGGACTGAATCATAAGAACACAAAGACACTGAGATATGTACACATAGAAAAAGGCCACATGAGGATATAGTCAGACGGTGACCTGCTATAAACCAGGAAGAGGGGTATGGGAAGAAATGGAACCTGTTCCTCTTTATTCTGAAGTGACTCAACATTGCATGGCCTTCCACCAGCCACTGCACCTCCACATTCTAACCCTATGACCGACATACATGACATGAAGCATGGTGTCGCATCTCACCTGGGCAAATAGGATGCTGCCTCCCCTCCCTCAGCTGCTTTCCTCTCACCGAGTATGACACCAAAACAAATCATTATTTGACAGAAATAGATAAAGAAGCAGGGTCATTTGACAAAACGTGTCTCAGTTTGGTTGCTCTAATACTGTAGGTCAAATTAGAATATTTGAATATGGTCTGGAAGACCCTGTGTTGAACATTACTTTAAAGGACTTTGGATTTTTTGGTTTATGAGTCCCCTCTTCACTTGTGGAAAGCTTTTTTCTCTGTTTCTTTATTAATATTTTTATTATTTTTTAATTTTATATGTATGAGAGTATTACCTACATGTATGTAAGTGCACCCATGATATGCAATGCCTGTGGATGTCAGAAAAGGGCCTCGTATCCCCGGGAAGTGGAGTTACAGATGATTGTTAGCTGTCATGTGTGTACTGGGAACTGAACCCCTGTCCTCTGCAAGAGCAATCAGTGCTCTTAAACTGCTGAACCATTGCTCCAGTCCCAGAGTTTATTTTTAATAAAATTTGTCACTTATTGCTTTCTGCTGTGTCTGAGATTTTTCAGCTTTTTAAGTTTTTAATTGGCAGAGAAAAGGAACGAGATCAAGACTCCTAGACTGTAACATCTCAGGTTACTGAGAGTCAAGAGGGAAGATACTCAAAATTTTAGAGAACCTGCTGTACGTAATGCAACAGTCATCTATCTCATGAATGTGGAGGCTGTGCCAGAGAGCAAACGGTGACTAAACTCACCACCCCCAATACAGAACTGACCTAGACCAAGCTTCTCAACATTACAGTACTTAAAAACATGAAGTGATTTGGGTGTCAAGTTAATAAGAGGTGGACTTGTGATGGGTAATATTGATTGCTAATATGACGGGGTTTAGAATCAGTTAGGAGGCGAGTGGCTGGGCATGCCTTCTAGGGATTTTGTGTATTAGGTTAGCTTCTGGGCATGCCTGTGAAGGACTATCTAAATTAGGTTAATTGAGGTGGGAAACCCTGTACTGAATTAGAAAGGGGAAATGACTGAGCACTACTCCAGAGCAGGACTTCTCAGTCTTTTTCTACTTGCAACCCCTTCTCCTCCAAGAAATTTTTATACAACCCTGGATAATAAGTGTTGTGGTTTGAGTGGAAAATGTCCCCGGTAGGCTCATACCTCTAAACACTTAGTCTCTAGTTGATGGCTCTGTTTTTGGAAGGTTGTGGAACTTGTAGAGTCTTACTAGAGGAAATGAGTCATTGGGAATAGGCCTTATGGCTTCATAGCCTGGTCCCACTCCCTATCTGCTGTTTCCTAGCTGCAGGTGCAGTGTGACACACTGTCTCATGTTCCTGCCACAAAGCCTTCCCCAACATGATGGACTGCTTCTTTCTTAAAATGTAAGCCAAAACAAATCCTTCTTTAAGTTGCTTCTTGCCAGCTATTTGGTCACAATAATAAAACAGACAAATGAAATAGGTATGTAAATCAAGCACTTACTAATAAGTCATAAGATATTTATTTCAAAAACAATTATTTTGTATATATATGATTTTTCACATTTATTGAAGATGAAAGAAAAATTTCATAATAAGACAGATGTGTTTGCTTAATTTTAATAAAGAATTAAATGTTCACTGAATATTTAAGACAGCAGAACATGGACCATCTCCAGTGTTTTTCAGAGTAGATTGATAATTTTATTTTTATCATAAAACAATTTTTTTATTAGAACATCATTTTTCAAAAAAACAAAATGGAAGAATGTTTATAATCATTCAGAAATTGTTGGAAATTCTTTCCTAATTCTAAACCAAAATTCATTGAACAATTTGTGTGTGTGTGTGTGTTACTGAAAATTGAACCAGGGCCTCACACATGCTAGGCAAGCATTCTACCACTGAACTATGTCCCCAGCCCCATCAAACGATTTTTTTAAAAAAGAAACTCAAGTCAATAACTCAAATTGCAACTTTTGAAATTAAGCATTGTAACACAATTCAATCTGAAGATATACTAGTTTGACACTTACATGCTGAGAAATAATGGAAGGAAGTAGTAAAGCCCTTTGTTTTCACTAAGCCTGTTTCTATGAGGGCAGAGCTTTGTATAGTAAAAGCACTGTAGTTCATAACCTAAAGTAGTCCCAGCTCTACACCTAGGTGTTCCAGGCAGTGCACTGGTGTTGTACAGCATAATGATATGTGCAGTACTAAGTTCACATGTGTTCAGAACCAAAGCTGCACTGAAGTCATGCAATGCAACACAGACAAGTGCTGCCAGAAACTCCTGATTCATCGCATGCTCTTTTAATATTCATTTTGGTTAATGGGTGTTCAGAAACCTTTTACTTTTGCCAAGTTTTTCACAACCCCCACTTCAATCAATAGTCTACACTTGAGGACCTTTGATAAGCATTATAAAATGTAACTTGAATTGTCCACAGAAAACAGGGTTGGAAGGAACAGAGTGTTTATCCACTGATCTCTTTCTCCCATTGGTCAATGGTTGCCTCACAGAGAGCATGATCTTGTCTCAGTCCTTTCATCTCCCCTTCTGATGTACAGCCTGATGGAATATTTAAGGAAAATATGGATTTTAATCCTTGTTTTCTCTCTCTGTCAGCAAGGTTCAGCTGACAAGTTTGTGGTCAGAATGCTGACACAGCTGGCTAGAACCACTTGCCTTGAGTCCTGATGAGACTTCCTGAATTCTGTTTGTCTCAGACAGAGACTTCTGCAACAACTTTCAGACAGCATGTTTTTGTTTTCTAAATTTATAATAATTTGCCTGGTTTTAAGACTTTACTGATAGCCAATCAATATGTGAGTTTCTTTCTCACTTGAAACTGATGTCTAAGGTATAAAAGATATGTGTTACTTCCTTTTGGGGTCCAGATTTTGAAGCTTGAGACTGCTGCACCAGGCTGCAGCCTAAGTAAAATACCTGCTTCCTGCATACCCGTGGTGTCCTGCCTGATGCTTCCTAAAATAATTCTGGTGCACTGGGCTCAGAAGACAGAGGTAGAGATGGATTTTTGCCTCCCTTGTCTCTGGGGCTTAACTTCCCTGGAACACTGGAGGAAGAGAGAAAGGACTCACTTGGAATCTCACAGACGCTGCCCCTCCCCACCCCAGCCACCCTCCCCGCCCCCCAGCACAATGGAACCCAAGGGAGACAGGAACCAGAAGCAGGGATATGGAGCCTCACCACCAAATCAACAGTTTGGCCCCAGATGGTGGCACTGCTTAGGAAGGTTGTAGAACCTTTAGGAGATGGGGCTTTGGTAGACAGAGTGAGTTACTAGGGGCAGACTTTGAGGTATTGTAGCCTAACCTTCTTCCTCTTTTCTCTCTGCTTCTGACTACAGATGCAATTGGACCAGCCAGCTTCCTGCTCCTACCATCAGTGCCAGGCCTTCCCAACCATGAATGAATCTGTAAGCCAGCATAAACCTTTCCTTCCTTAAATTCCCTTTTGTCAGTTATTTTGTCACAAAAATGAGAAAAGTAACTAATATAGAAAATTGAT